AAAAAAACTTGAAATTTGCCGCTATTATCAACTGTAGGGCCCTTTATTAAAAAACACATTTTTATCTAAAATGAAATAATAAACAATAAAATTTAACACAGAAACATGAAAAATTTTACCCAAAAAGAAAAAATATCCTTTCCTGCCCCAGTTTTGCCCTAAAACAGGGGACCCTCGCCCAACGAGGGCCTTCGAAAACGATAAATCTGACCCGATACTTTTAACGCAAAAATTTTCCCGAAAAGCGAAAAAACTCGACCAACACTATTCATTCCGCGAACGCGCCACTTCTGGCCATTTTTTACAACCCAAAGCCCACCGTGGTCGCTTCCAAGCAAAAAAACGGAACATTGCCTTTTAATCACGTTTTTTTAATAAATTGCACCTGGAAAAAAAAGTGACCAGGGGGCCCCAAGAAAGCTTCTAGGGCCAAACCCCCTTACGGGAAAAAAGGGTGAGAATTACTTTTAAATATGAAAAAAAGAAAACATTGCAAAATATGAAAGGGGAGTGCATTTTCCTCCGAGCTGGCCGGGTTTTGTACAAAAAAACCCCAATAAACCATCGCTACTTTTTGGGGCCCAAGAAAACGCAATCAAGGAAGCTTTCTTGCTAAAGGGGGCAACAAAAATTTCAAAACGGAATCGAAAAGGATAGAAGATGCTGAAACTTTATTTTGTGGAAAAAACAAAAAACCAGATGGGAAATTTGCATCTCTCAAGCGATCAAAATAAAAAAGGCGGGGAATTGTATGGGGAAATTTAAATTTAAAAAATGCCAGAAACCGTGTGTATTGAATTTAAGGCCAGCAAAGGTTGGTTTTGAAAGAGTTAAGAATTGTAGGGCCCATACATATGTGATAAGGCATGGTGAGGCTGCCTTTTGGACCAAAAAGCAGCGAAAAAAATGGAAAGGAATTCAAAGAAACATAGACAGTGAAAAAAATTAAACCCCCAAACCCAAGTGTTTAATTTTTACACTGACAATGTGAAACACTTTAGGAATTTTCATAAAGGAACAGGACGAAACAGCCTCTATGGACAGATATGTTGGGGCGACAAAATTTCCAGTGACTCTCAAGCTGGTCCTAGTGGCATTAAAAGAAGGAAGTAACCCCAAAAAAGGGACTTGCCACCTAAAGTCCTAAAGGAAGGGGATTCCCCTTTTTAAACACAAACCCACCATCGACACTCTCCCCCCCATCCCAAAAACCCTCAATCTCACCAATCTTCAAAAAAGGGAGTGTCATTAACTTGGGATTTCTTCTTCCCTTTTTTGTGTATTAAAATTTTAAAATTTCAAGGGGAAAAAATTTTTTTTTTTTTCAATACTTTTTTGGGGGTCTTGCACGGGTTTTAAATTTTAAATTTTCCCTTATTTCTTATGGGGGAAAAATTTAAATGACTAACGATAATTTCGATGAACCCATAGCTTTTCAGGAACGGGTTAAAAATTGCTGGCCCAGAGTCCACTGTAGTAAACTTCCCAGCTCTTTTCTGTAAAAGAAAATGGAAAAATTTTTTTAGGCTAACTGCAAAAGATCCCCTATTTTTTCCCAAGGAAAACATTTAAAAAATCTATAAAAACACAAAAACATAGTACAAAAACAAATGGACTTTGTCAATGGTCCGAGTCGGGCCGAAAAGTCGTCATAAGCTTTTCCTTTTTTTGTGCGGGTTTTTTGTGTATCGTTCCGGTCCTGGTAATTTTGCCTTTTTTGTTTTTTTATTTTAAATGTAAAAAATTCCTACTCACTCGGAGCAGAAATGGTGGGGGATTGAGGGTGGGGGAGGGGGTTTAGGGGGGTGATGTTTAGGCTGTTTCATGTTATGTCAGGCCCTGTGAACCCCCAACAACAACATAGTTTTTTTTTATACAATTTTTTTTTGTTTAATCACTGAACATAACTGATACAGCTTTAGTACTACATATCTTAGATGTACTTAAACTGGTATTGCCTGGCTAAATCCATGGAAATCTTTTAGCCTCTGCTTAAGTCCCCTGGCAATTTGCTACTCATCTGTTCCATGACCCTTCTAGTAGGTTTGGATTCTATGAAAGTGTTTAATTTAAACTTCTTCCCCCAGGGGGTTTTTTTGCCCTTTGTCTTTTAAATTCCTGGGACAGTGGGGGCCCCGCTTTATGATGGGATCATGTTTTCGTTAAAAACCTCCATAAAGATACATTTTTTAAAACAAAAAATTTTTTCCTCGCCTCGCCAAAAAACTCGCCTCTCGCGATTCGTCTGGACACTTTACGTTGTGGGCCCGAGCGCCCTCAGCTGCCCCCAAAGGGTGCCAGGTTTTTCAAGCCACCAGTGCGGTCCCCCCCTCCACGCATACATTCGTTCATTTTTTATTTTCACATGGTTTTTTTGTGATCGTAAGGGTGCAAAAAACCCCCATGGGCCCCCAAAAAAAGCTTCTAGTTCTAACCCTGGGTAAAAAGGGGAAAATTACTATTGGGGAAAAGAAAAAAAGAATTAAAATTTCTAAGTAAAAGTGGAGTGCATTCTTTGGGGGCTGGCCAGGGTTTTTTACCAAAACCCAACAACCATCGCTACTATTGTGGGGCCCAAAAAAACGGCAAAACAATGAAGGGGCTCTTGCAAAAGGTGCAAGTTTGGGTTTTCCCAAACAGAGATCGCAAGTTTTAAAGATTTTTGAGAGACTGTTATTGGGGTGGAAAACGAAAAAAAAATAGGAAAATACCATCTTTCAAGCGATCGTATGTGAAAAGTCTAGAAAGTTGCATGACGATTTAATTAGAAAAATGCCTGCAACTAGTGGTGATGTGAGTGAATTTAAGGCCAGGAAAGGTTGGTTTGAGAGATTTAATATTCGTAGTGGCAGACATTGTGTGATAAGGCATGGTGAGACTGCCAGTTCGGACCAAAAAGCGGCTGAAAAATATATGAAGGTATTCAAGGACTACATAGATAGTGAAGGACTGAAACCTGAACATGTTTGTGATGAAACAGGCCTGTTTTGGAAGAAAATGCCAAACAGGACCTACATTACTCAGGAGGAAAAGGCACTCCCAGGTCATAAGCCTATGAAAGAGGCTTACTATCTTGTGTGCTAATGCTAATGCAAAATGAAGCCTTTATTGGTGTATCACTCTGAAACTCCCAGGGCGTTCAGGCAAAACTATGTCCTCAAGGCTAATTTGTGTGCGCTGTGGAGGGCAAACAGTAAGGCATGGGTCACTAAGGACTTTCTCTATGACTGGTTACACCATGCATTTGCCCCCACTGTGAAAAATTACCTCCTGGAAAATAAATTGGACCTTAAGTGCTTCCTGATATTAGACAATGCTCCTGGTCATCCTTCAGACTTGGCAGAGTGACTTTCTGGGGACATGAGCTTCATTAAGGTCAAGTTTTTGCCTCCTAATACCACTCCTCTCCTGCAGCCCATGGACCAGCAGGTCATTTCTACCTTCAAAAAACTCTACACAAAAGCTGTGTTTCAAAAGTGCTTTGTAGTGACCTCAGACACTCGATTGACTCTAAGAGAGTTTTGGAAAGATCACTTTAGTATCCTCAGTTGTGTAAACCTTATAGGTAAGGCTTGGGAGGGAGTGACTAAGAGGACCTTGAACTCTGCTTGGAAGAAATTGTGGCCAGATAGTGTAGACAAAAGGGATTTTGAAGGGTTTGAGGCTAACCCTGAGAAGCGTATGCCAGTTGTGGAATCAGTTGTGGCATTGGGGAGTCCCCTTTGGGGGTTTGGGGTTAGTGGGGAGGATGCGAAGAGTTGGTGGAGGAGAACAATGAAGAACTAACCACTGATGAGCTGCAAGATCATCTTCAACAGCAAGAGGCCAGACCTGAGGAAACTGCTTCAGAGGAGGGGAGAGAGAAATTGAAGAAGTTGTCTACTTCAAAGATTAAGGAAATGTGTGCAAAGTGGCTTGAAGTGCAAACCTTTATGGATGAAAATCATCCTCAGACAGCTATTGCAAGCCGTGCTGGTGACTATTACAATGTTGTGAACCACTTTAGACAAATCATTAAGGAACGAGAGGTACAGAGCTCTATGGACAGGTATGTTGTGTGACAGGTCCAGTGACTCTCAAGCTGGTCCTAGTGGCATTAAAAGAAGTAGTAACCCCAGAAAAGGACTTGCTACCTAAAGTCCTAATGGAACGGGATTCCCCTTATAAACAATAACTTCCACACACTCCCCTCCTCCCATCCCATCAATCATCACCAGATCTTCAATAAAGGTAAGTGTCATGTATTCTATTCTTAGTAGAGTAGTATTAACTGTGCATGTCTTCTTCAGTTTGTGTGTATTAAAATTAATATTTCATGTTTTTTTTTTTTTTTTTTGTCAATACTTTCAGGTTTCTTGCACTGATTAATTTGATTTCCATTATTTCTTAGGGGGAGCATTAATTTGCCTTAAAATAATTTCGGCTCACAATGAGCTCTCGGGAACGGATTAATATCGTAAGGCAGGGGTCCACTGTATTTCTACATATGAGGTTCCTAGCTTCATTCACCTCTTTCTGCTGGTGCATATCTCTTCATCTCCTTGGTTTCACATACACTTGATACAGTCACCTGAGCACTTGGGATTAGTCCTGGCAGACTGTGCTCTTATTCATTTGCTCATTCTACAAAATTTCCTGTCTAGAAAATCATAGAATAAAACATGTACAACATTAGAAAATCAGTGGACATGTTTAACATCAACACAAAACAAAATTCCTTGACCTGACGTTCAGATCCCAATCTCTCCTCTAGGATTGATGCGATTTTCATCCCCACTGATCTCTCCACCACCTGATCTGACTAAGATGCTTGTATGCTCTAGAGAATGATGTTTTTGCTTTCTGTGTACAGTAACTGATAAAGCCTTACTGTGGATGAAACTTTGTATAAATTTTCCCTTGCTAAAAGTGTCCTCATAATTACCACTTTATTAGATACTGTCTTATTTTGTTACATTTCAAGTTGCACTTAATTGTTGAAGGATAAAATGACTTTACAGATGTCGGGGCCATCACAACACAAGTATCGTTACAAGAACCAGGGATTAGATTCTGCAGAAATGCGGAGACGACGAGAAGAGGAAGGTGTACAACTTAGAAAACAGAAGAGAGAACAACAGTTGGCCAAACGAAGAAATGTGAATGATCTTACAGATGGTATAGGTGACGATGAAACTGTTGATTCCTCTATGAACCAGGCAAGTCAGAAGGTTTTCTTTCTGTTAGTATATTCCTGTAAGTCATAAATTTTTGTGTGTGTGGTAATGATAATCATTAATTATAGTGTGTAATTTAAAATTGTTTTGCTGTACTGATAAAATGTCAAATAGCATTTAATAAGACTGGTAGATATCTTACATAGTTACTTTCTCAGTGGAAAGGGAGCAAGAGTGTCAGAATTATAGAAGAATGAGTCTGTTGAGCATAATAGGATGACAAGGGTAGATAAATCTGGAGCAGAGGGAAGGAGGGGTAGGGGTCATCCCAGGAAGGTTGCAGGAAGAGGGTAAAGAAAGTGTTGAATGGTAGGTGCTTGACCAACCATCAGGTTTATTGGAGCATGTTAGACCAGATTTTCATGGCTTCACAGGTTATGTGACAAAGGTAACATTTATGAAGGGATTTAGGGAAACCGGTTAGCTGGACTTAAGTTCATTAGTTCAAACCTATGAATTCTGAGAAGGGAGACTTGCATATGGAGCTGGCTGTAGTGCCGGGTCCAAACACTCGGCAGGAGATGGCTACTGTGTTAAAAAAAAAAAAATCTTGAGTATACCAGGTACAGTGTGTTGCAGAATTATTATTGAAAGCATTTCAAAAAAAATCCAAAAATAAGATGCTGAAGAACAAGGAGGCCTTAGGAAAATCAGAAGAGGTGCAGACTCAGTGTTTACATTAAAGCATTCAAGTAAATAATTACAGGTCTCCCTCAACATTCACGTTTTCAACTTTCATGGGCTTCACACATTCGCGAATTCCCAACCGCCAAATTCCCAGCCGCCAAATCATATTTAAGTTTCCCGCCACCTGCAGTCCCAACTACCCTCCCTCCGACCCCCGCAACTGGCAGCCAGCCCTCCCACCACTCAGTGTGGTGAGTGTTTTGTTTGTTCTTTAAATTTGCTATTAAACTACAGTATAAATAATGTAAACCCATTCATGACTGCATATTGGAATGGCTATTCGGTACAGGTATTAGACGGTGACATCATGTGTTTACTCTGAGCACTGCAAAGAATTAAACATTTCTGCTACAGCAATAAAACAATAGTAATAATAATAATAATAATAATAATAATAATAATAAATATGATATAATTGAAGAAGGAAATTGTACAAAAATACGAAGGAGTGGTTGACACATCGTCAGTGTGACTGTGTTTATGCTGGAGTTAACATTAGTCTCCCTGCTCTTCCAAACATTTCACAATAATTCATTGTGTTTGGTGCTTGTAGATTGAGTGTGACTGGAGTGGTAGAGGCAGTGATTGAGGCAATGGTTTTTAAATTGACATACATGTTATTAATAATATGTACTATTATTATTTATAACATGTTATTAGCCTGGTGGCTAACGCTCTCGCTTCACACGGCGAGGGCCTGGGTTCGATTCCCAGCCAGAGTAGAAACATTGGACGTGTTTCTTTCCACCTGTTGTCTGTTCCCCATCAGTAAAATGGGTACCTGGGTGTTAGTCGACTGGTGTGGGTCGCATCCCGGGACACTGACCTAATTTGCCCGAAATGCAGAGCATAACAAGGAGTTTCATATAGTAGTATGTCATTGTTGTCAGCTGGGACTGTATACCTTGTACATGTACTTGTAGTAAATAAAATATTATTATTATTATTATTATTAACTGGCAGCCAGCCCTCCCACCCGCCACTCACTCAGTCTGTCAGTCTCCAGCCACTGTGCGAGTCGGTCATTGCTGTTTGTGTGGTGGTGAAAGTATGTCTCATGCCATGCAGTTACACTCCATATAATCATCTCCATTCAAGTCCATCAGTAACTGCATGTAATATCAATAGAAAATAAAAAATTTAAATAATTTAAATTTTTTTAATCATCACAAGTCTCAGAGTTTGTCTGCCTTACGAGTGGTGAGTGTTTGTTTGTTCATTATTTATTAAACTACAGTATAAATAATTTTCAACTCATTCATGACTGCTAATAATAATAATAATAATAATAATAATAATAATAATAAATACGAGGGTTGAAGCAGTGGGGGGTAAGACATCGTCAGTCAGTATGGTTTTGTTTATGCTGGATGAGAATTATCCTCTGCGCTCTTCCAAACATTTCAAAATAATTCATTGTGTTTGGTGCTTGTTGATTGACTGTGACTGCTACAAAATTAACCATGGGCCCAAATAAATTTGGGTAAAGAAACTGAGAAGCACGAAAGAATTGAAGAAAGAAATTATATAAAAATACGAGGCAGTGGTGGAAAGGCAGTAAAATATTTTACGATGTTCTCAGGTACGTATTTATGATTGTTCATGAGAACATAAGAAAGGAGGAACACTGCAGTAGACCTGTTGGCCCATACTATTCAGGTCCTTCACAAATCTAGCCCAATAACAGAATAAATGCTACCCAAGCAATAAGCTTTGAACATTCTATTTCTTGCATGCAAGACCCCCTTCAAATCCAACCCCTCTCACTTGTGTATTTTTCCAACCTAAATGTGAAGCTACCCAAGGTTTTAGCTTTGATAGGACCTTGGGTAGCTTTAAAAAGAGATTGGACAAATATATGAGTGGGAGGAGCATGTACGTATATACATGTATATACATAGATTATTTCATTTTATTTATTTATTTTTTTTTTTTTTATTATCACACTGGCCGATTCCCACCAAGGCAGGGTGGCCCAAAAAAGAAAAACTTTCACCATCATCACTCCATCACTGTCCCTTGCCAGAAGGGGGCTTTACACTACAGTTTTTAAACTGCAACATTAACACCCCTCCTTCAGAGTGCAGGCACTGTACTTCCCATCTCCAGGACTCAAGTCCGGCCTGCCGGTTTCCCTGAATCCCTTCATAAATGTTACTTTGCTCACACTCCAACAGCACGTCAAGTATTAAAAACCATTTGTCTCCATTCACTCCTATCAAACACCTCACGCATGCCTGCTGGAATCCAAGCCCTCGCACACAAAACCTCCTTTACCCCCTCCCTCCAACCCTTCCTAGGCCGACCCCTACCCCGCCTTCCTTCCACTACAGACTGATACACTCTTGAAGTTATTCTGTTTCGCTCCATTCTCTCTACATTCCGAACCACCTCAACAACCCTTCCTCAGCCCTCTGGCAACAGTTTTTGGGAATCCCGCACCTCCTCCCAACTTCCAAACTATGAATTCTCTGCATTAATTCACACCACACAATTTCCCTCAGACATGACATCTCCACTGCCTCCCCGCCTTCTCCTCGCTGCAAACATTCATCACCCATGCTTCACACCCATATAAAGTGTTTTTAAAACTATACTCTCATACATTCCCCTCTTTGCCCCCAAGGACAAAGTTCTCTGTCCCCCAACAGACTCCTAATGCACCACTCACTCTTTTTCCCTCATCAATTCTATTTATTCACCTCATCTTTCATAGACCCATCCGCTGACACGTCCACTCCCCAAATAATGAATACGTTCACCTCCTCCATACTCTCTCCCTCCAATCTGATATTCAATCTTTCATCACCTAATCTTTTTGTTATCCTCATAACCTACTCTTTCCTGTATTCACCTTTAATTTTCTTCTATTGCACACCCTACCAAATTCATCCACCAATCTCTGCAGCTTCTCTTCAGAATCTCCCAAGAGCACAGTGTCATCAGCAAAGAGCAGCTGTGACAACTCCCCCCCTGTGTGTGATTCTTTTCTTTAACTCCACGCCTCTTGCCAAGACCCTCGCATTTACTTTTTCTTACAACCCCATCTAAAATATATTAAACAACCACGGTGACATCACAAAATCCTTGTCTAAGGCCTACTTTTACTGGGAAAAAAAATTTTCCCTCTTTTCTACATACTCTAAATTGAGCCTCACTATCCTCGTAAAAACTCTTCACTGCTTTTAGTAACCTACCTCCTACACCATACACTTGCAACATCTGCCACATTGCCCCCCTATCCACCCTGTCATACGCCTTTTCCAAATCCATAAATGCCACAAAGACCTCTTTAGCCTTATCTAAATACTGTTCACTTATATGTTTCACTGTAAACACCTGGTCCCCCACACCCCCTACTTTTCCTAAAGCTTTCCCTTTTTCATCTGCTATCCTATCTCTGTCTTACCTTAATTCTTTTTAATTATAACTCTACCATACACTTTACCAGGTACACTCAACAGACTTATCCCCCTATAATTTTTGCACTCTCTTTTATCCCCCTTTGCCTTTATACAAGGAACTATGGGATGCCTCTCTGCCAATCCCTAGGTACCTTACCCTCTTCCATACATTTATTAAATAATTGCACCAACCACTCCAAAACTATATCCCCACCTGCTTTTAACATTTCTATCTTTATCCCATGAATCCCGGCTGCCTTACCCCCTTTCATTTTACCTACTGCCTCACGAACTTCCCCCACACTCACAACTGGCTCTTCCTCACTCCTACAAGATGTTATTCCTCCTTGCCCTATACACGAAATCACAGCTTCCCTATCTTCATCAACATTTAACAATTCCTCAAAATATTCCCTCCATCTTCATTTTATTATTTTATTATATTTCCCTGCAATATATTGGGGCACCAAACATTCGCGATTTTTCAACATTCACGGGGCTCTTGATCCCCTAACCCCCGCGAATGTTGAGGGAGACCTGTAGTAGGGTAAGGACCAGTGTGTTGCATTTTAAGTTTAAATAAGCAATATGATAGGTGGACAGGGGAGCAGTGTGGCAGATATTGCAAATACTGTATATGGAAGAGGGAGTTGATTACCAAGTGCTGCAGAGATTTTGAGGAGAGCTTGGTTCATGTTAAGGAATGTAGTAGAGAGGAGGACTATTTTCTAGTAAAGTGAGCCTTAGGCAGGGTTGTTTTGTCACTATAGTTGTTCAACCCTTCTAGTGGTCATCACATAGGTCTGTCATTGATCCCAGGGGTCCCTCGTGTAGATATATTTTTTGAGTGCAGCTCCCTCAGATAAGCTGTAAGCAGTAAATTTTGGCTTTGATATAAGAGAATGGATCTGTGCAGTAAGTGTTAACAGTATAAAAAAATCCTTCCCTATGTAGTACATGATGGGACAAACTAAACTCCAGCTTTGTATTTGGTTTAACCCTTTCATTGTTCAGGCCCCCAAAATTAATATTGCTCTCTGTGTCTACTTTAAAAAATAAAATATTTTCTTCTGAAATGGTACAGAATCTTCTTCTGAAGATAATGGCACTAAAAATCCAAAATTTGATGGAAAACTTATGAAATTATGCAGGTGCAAAGTTAGTGGTCTAGCGCAATTTACATATTGGCGATTTCCTCTTGTTTAAAGCCAATTCCATTGCTCTATCCAACCAAATTATTAGCATTTTTTCACTGGTATACCTTTTGTTCTGTCAACTGAGCACAGGAAACTGCCCATTCAAATATTTCAGCTACCCTATGAAGTGCACAGAATTTGGTAATTTGACCAATTTTGCACAATTAAAAAAATGCCAGTTTAAAAATAATCCAATATAAACAATGCAGACATTCCTGAGACATTTCCTCTGTTCATTAGTCACGTCCCCAGGCCTCTCCTATATTACACTTGCCTTCCATTTTGAATTCTTAATTGCACAAAAATAGGAGATTGACTCTTATTTTTTGCTAATAAAATATTACCAGGAATGATTGGTCATGGTTTACAGCATCCCAGTAATCAGATTACTTATTAAAAACCCATAAAACAGACTGAGAGGGTGTAGGGGGGTCTTACCCCATCCTTGGGAATATCAACAAAAATCAGATGTTTTCACTATTTGGAGCTCAATTTCAAGCTACTTCCAGTCCTGAAATTCGTCAAAATCATTCCCATTTCAGTAGTTATGTCTTCCATTCTATCGAATGATATCAAGAAGCCACCAGAAAAACCATCCAAGAAAATACCTGAAAATTGCTGTATTAAACCATACACAGTCAGTTTTTTCCTATTATATCATGCACTTGTGAGGCAGGAATTTTTTTTCTACTATGCACTTGCTGCACACCTGTTCTCTCACATCAAGGGCAAAATTTACTGCTCACAGCTTATCTGAATGAGCTGAGCTTATGAGGGACTCTTGAATGCACAGTAACTCATCTAATGACCATATGACCTGTTTCTGCACTACAAATCATTGATTTTACTCTATTTGATTCGATTATATTATACATTGTTATGCTACAAATTTGTACAACTTTAATGCTTCCTATTTGAAATACTCATTTGTACTTCATGTTGTAATTTGTTTACTATAATTTTTACCACTGAATATATCATTGCTTAGTTAATCTTAAGTTACTTTTAAGCCTGCCCATAATGCTCTGCATACAAGGGGCTTTTGGCATGTACACCTGAATCACTATATTTCTTTGTACAACTATGTATCATGTCCAAATAAAAATAAATAAATAAATGGTTGACACAAACTTGCTACCATTATGGTATGCTCCTCGCTTAGCGACGAATTAATTTAACGACATGGTCTTAAGAACAGAACTCCGTCGTTAAGTGAGGAGAGGCTGCACAGGTTTCCATTTTACACTTGCTTGGCAGGACAGTAGTACCTCCCTGGGTGGTTGCTGTCTACCAGCCTACTACCTAGGTATTACTATTTCTATTATTAACTGTTATTACTGTTGCTACTATTACTATTATTACTTGTATTACTACTACTACTACTAATGATTATAATACGTACATGTATATGAATTTTCAAATCTTACATATTTCAGGAGAGTAATCAGCAAGGTGGTGGTGGAGGTGGTAGCCTAATAACTTCAGAAATGGTCCAAGTTCTCTATAGTGATGATCTTGAAGCTCAGCTTAATGCCACACAAAAATTCCGCAAACTACTGTCAAGGGAGCCCAATCCTCCAATAGATGAAGTTATTCAAACTGGAATTGTCCCAAAATTTGTTGAATTTTTACAGAGGGATGGACATTGTACATTACAGGTGAGTGAGAAAGTCATTTTTGAGAACTAAACTTCCTCTTTATATTAGTGTGTTTATCTTGTACAGAGTTTGTTTAAAGATCTTCACTTACAAGACATCATTGAATGTTCATGGAAAAGTTGAGGAGTAAATAATTGCCATTTTTTTTTTTTTCCCAAAGAAGTTACATTTGTCTAAATGATTTCTTGGAAAAGCCTGTAGTTAGGCAGAGCAGTGCATGCAGATGTAAAACGGGTAAAATTAATGGAACTGACGGGATCATGACAGAAATGTTAAAAGCAGGGGGGGACATAGTGTTGGAGTGGTTGGTATTTTTGTTTAAGAAATGTATGAAAGAGGGGAAGGTACCTAGGGATTGGCAGAGAGCATGTATAGTCCCTTTATATAAAGGAAAGGGGGACATAAGAGATTGTAAAAATTATAGAGGAATAAGTTTACTGAGTATACCAGGAAAAGTGTATGGTAGGGTTATAATTGAAAGAATTAGAGGCAAGACAGAATGTAGGATTGCGGATGAGCAAGGAGGTTTTAGAGTGGGTAGGGGATGTGTAGATCAAGTGTTTACATTGAAGCATATATGTGAACAGTATTTAGATAAAGGTAGAGAAGTTTTTATTGCATTTATGGATTTAGAAAAGGCATATGATAGTGGATAGAGGAGCAATGTGGCAGATGTTGCAAGTATATGGAATAGGTGGTAAGTTACTAAATGCTGTAAAGAGTTTTTATGAGGATAGTGAGGCTCAGGTTAGGGTGTGTAGAAGAGAGGGAGACTACTTCCCGTAAAAGTAGGGCTTAGACAGGGATGTGTAATGTCACCATGGTTGTTTAATATATTTATAGATGGGTTGTAAAAGAAGTAAATGCTAGGGTGTTCGGGAGAGGGGTGGGATTAAATTATGGGGAATCAAATACAAAATAGGAATTGACACAGTTGCTTTTTGCTGATGATACTGTGCTTATGGGAGATTCTAAAGAAAAAATTGCGGGTTA